AAAAATTTTTAAGCGTACGTTTTATTAAATAAATATAAAATAGAAGATATATTTCAATCTTTCAGGCTTTGCATCTAAGTCTGGAATTCCGACGACACTCGATGAAATTTCTCAAAGTTTTTATCTTATTTATAATTATATTTATACGATGCACTCATTTCTGGTTATCTGTACGAAGATTTTATGCGCATCGAATATAATTCTTGTTTTTCGGTAGTTTCGTTGAATTTGCCGTTGCAAATACAATAGAACTTAATTCGGATTGGTCGAAAAGAAACAAATTCGAACTTCGAGTCATAAAATTTCGTGTGAAAATCAAGATTTTGTACATCGCTTTAACGATAACTCGTAACAAACTATCCTTACGATATTACGGGCAATTGTTGTATCAATGTAAACTTATCGGTAATGTCCGGAAACTCAAAAACGCTTAACCGAATGTTTAGAATATTCTGCATATAGTGGCTGTGATCTTACATACAGTGGTAATTGTGCTTTTGACATATACTATCGACCGCCATGTTAATATAAATACTGAAATCTGTACTACATCTTAAGCAGGGTTGTCACATAATATCTATTTTCTTTAAGCTAAATCTAGATTGTTTCATCTCGAATTTATCTCTTTTCCGGATTTTGTTTAATTATTATATAAAAGGAAAAATCAAAGTTTAAACCGTTATATGAAGTAATTAACTCTCAATATATATTATTATTTGTATAATCTAAGCACGAGCCAGGTCTACAAGGTCCATTGTCATCTAAACTTATGCTTGAGAGTTTAGAGTGTTGATTGTGTATTTATACTGTACTCGAGTAAATCTGATCTGTACCATACTTACCGGTAGTACGTTGATGATTTTTTTCGAGCAGTGTTGCGTCAGGCCGATTCTTGTCTCGTTTGATGATTAATTAATTTTCGTAAGTCTCACCTGACCGTCTTGTTCGTACACCAGGTTCCAGCGTTGCCAGATGTTTTTTGCCCTTGTAGCCAAATAATTTTTAAAAAGTAGCCCAAAAGTAGCCAACTGCTCGAGCAGTTGGCTACTTTTGGGCTACTTTTTAAAAATTATTTGGCTACAAGGGCAAAAAACATCTGGCAACGCTGGAACCTGGTGTACGAACAAGACGGTCAGGTGAGACTTACGAAAATTAATTAATCATCAAACGAGACAAGAATCGGCCTGACGCAACACTGCTCGAAAAAAATCATCAACGTACTACCGGTAAGTATGGTACAGATCAGATTTACTCGAGTACAGTATAAATACACAATCAACACTCTAAACTCTCAAGCATAAGTTTAGATGACAATGGACCTTGTAGACCTGGCTCGTGCTTAGATTATACAAATAATAATATATATTGAGAGTTAATTACTTCATATAACGGTTTAAACTTTGATTTTTCCTTTTATATAATAATTAAACAAAATCCGGAAAAGAGATAAATTCGAGATGAAACAATCTAGATTTAGCTTAAAGAAAATAGATATTATGTGACAACCCTGCTTAAGATGTAGTACAGATTTCAGTATTTATATTAACATGGCGGTCGATAGTATATGTCAAAAGCACAATTACCACTGTATGTAAGATCACAGCCACTATATGCAGAATATTCTAAACATTCGGTTAAGCGTTTTTGAGTTTCCGGACATTACCGATAAGTTTACATTGATACAACAATTGCCCGTAATATCGTAAGGATAGTTTGTTACGAGTTATCGTTAAAGCGATGTACAAAATCTTGATTTTCACACGAAATTTTATGACTCGAAGTTCGAATTTGTTTCTTTTCGACCAATCCGAATTAAGTTCTATTGTATTTGCAACGGCAAATTCAACGAAACTACCGAAAAACAAGAATTATATTCGATGCGCATAAAATCTTCGTACAGATAACCAGAAATGAGTGCATCGTATAAATATAATTATAAATAAGATAAAAACTTTGAGAAATTTCATCGAGTGTCGTCGGAATTCCAGACTTAGATGCAAAGCCTGAAAGATTGAAATATATCTTCTATTTTATATTTATTTAATAAAACGTACGCTTAAAAATTTTTAGTACGCTTCCTTAAGAAGTGTGATAAGTGCAAGAAAACCTGTCAATTGGTAGAGACTACATAAAGCAATTAGTAATTATGTTTATGTGCTCTCGGCCATTTCAATTGCAATACTTTGGTATGCAGACGAAATGCAAGCTCTCAAATACCACTTTTCTATATATTGATTTATAGAAGTACTGTATTTTTATGTTAGGTGAAGAACAAAATGCTGAGTACTAGGTGTGCTGTGTATGGTTGCAATAATAACCTTGTTTCAAATTGGAAGCAACCTGTTTACATCGGGTTTGATCAAAAAATGACAAGAGAAATACTTTTAAAATTAATAGCAGAACTTTATTTACTATCGTATAATGTAGTAGCTTGCATCAGTGACTGTAGTTGCAGTAACATAAGTTTATGGAAAGAATTGAATGTGAATATCAATTAAACGTTTATTATGAATCAATTATTATTATCAATGAAACGTATATTAAAAATATAAATATGTGATTCGACATTTTTAATAGCTATGCACCAAAAGGTTATGTTCCAAGCAAAAATGGATATGGTGTAGACTTGGAATTACAAGAAGAACATTTAAATAAAATGATAAAAATAATCTCAACGATTAGAGCAAGTGAAAAAAATGCCCTCCAAATTTTCCATAAAGGAATGATAATCTCAATGAAATCGCTAATTGATCTTTTTCAAGATATGAAATCGACTTTTGATATAAAATACATCTGCACTCACAATTTAAATCAAGATTGTCTGGAAAACTTTTTTTTGATTATTTTAGGAAGAATCCTGGTATTTTAGAGTCAAAAGTAAATACTACAGATCGAAGACAAGAGGAATATATTATACCCAAAGTTTTAGAGAAAACACATGTAGAAGTATCAAGTGAAAATACAGACTAATATACTGAATGCAAAACTACTTTTTCTTCAAATAAATCTACAGGAAACTCTACATGCAAACTAGACTTTAACACAATCTCTGATGCTCTCGAGTATATAGCAGGATATTTTGCCTATAAAGAAAAATACCCAAACTTAATTAATTCCACTAACAAAATTAAAAATCATTACAACTATAGCATTCCGTCATGGGTGCAACATTTATCTTACGGAGGGCTTATTAAACCTAGGGTTTCTCAAACGGGATTCCGGGATCCCGGTTGTTTTTTTAACCCGGGAAATATCCCGGGAAATCCCGCAAATTTCTTAAAAATTCACTTTTTTTCTAATTTGGTGGTAAGGTTGAGGAATTTTGCAAATAGAAAGCATAATTAACTCATTCACTGTCAGAATACATTTGTATTTATTAATTTTAAACCTACATATTAGTTTTTTTTTAATTTTTGCTCGTTATAGCATGTCACAAATGGTCAATAATCAATATATAGCTTATTTGTGGCAGGACTATAAAAATTCTTTACTTGTCGGAACCTGTAATATCTGGAATAATTGTGCTTACGCTGTCTTGAGTTTTAACCATGCCCAGTAGCTTCAATAAATGCCTGACGCCAGATTGTGCAAATTGGGCAAGGATACAAACGAGTACAAAGTCTGCAAGTATGAAGTTTTTCTTC